GTGGATGACCAATATCGGCTAATATATATTTCATTTCTACAGCTATATGACAAATATTGGTTAGTATGTAGAATTTATCGATATAATACATGCGGCGGATTTCAAATGTACGGCTGTTGATTACTTAACGCACATGACAAAACTCTTTACCTGACGTTTTCCATATCAAGCAACATACTTAAATTTGTTTTGCAAACATGAGAAAATCAATAAAATAAATACGGTATATTATTCATAGTTTAATGATTTGAGAATGGGATTGACACAATAAATTTGTATCACTAAATCGCTAAAACAATTGTAGACTATAAACTCAATTGGCGACATACATTTACCAATTTATTAAATGCGGAGACAGAGGATAATGTGCATACCACTCTCATAACACTGTGTGTAAATTGCTGTATACTATTTGGGCCTGGGGCATCTCTTGTAAGTAAAATAAAATTCACGTAACGCGTATACGAACGAGTGAGCTGTGGCGGATTTAAGTGTTATTATATAACGGCATATTTCAATTATTTTAAAAAACTTGTAATTCCCCCGAAATGCGTAATTCAACTAAACATGCTACTATTTATGGTTTGAAATGCCAATTATTGACCCAGATATACGATAGTGCACAGTAGTACTATAAATAGACTATTTTAAGAACCCGCTTAAACGTTGCTTTATGACGTAAATGTACAATGACATTGGCATCCTCGTTCCAGGGTATAGTAATATGAATGTTGTGGTGTGTGCATGCATGTTCGTGTATCAACGCGTATCAATGTGTAATTAATATGTATATATATATATATATATATATATATATATAAGATACAAGATATAAGGGAAATGTAAACAACGAAACCCCTATGACCAAATGTCGCAAATGAGAGCCCGCGTCGAGCCGCGCGGTGATTTATTCCTTTCAATATACTAGTACTGTTCAGATTAGTCGCGCCCTCATGTGGCGAAACGCTCATGTGACGTAAATATATGTTAATGACGCCGTTGAAAGCGTCAATGCTGTTTTGATTTTTGGTCGTCCGTTAGTAAAAATATTATTTTAGAGAGATATTCCCTATCCTAAATGACGAATAACTACACAACTAATCAGAGTTGCCTATTTCAACAACATTGCTTACAAGCTTCTACGTCATTTTGACGTCATAGAGCGCATTGCTCTAGAGGGCGTTACGTAATGGTAATATGTAGTCTAGAACGTAGTAACATATGTCCCTGTGTACACGATACTAATGAGTTGGCTTGGTCGTTCGTAGGTAATAATAGCTACTGGTGGTGGCTTCTTTTTATAGATAACACAGACTACAGACACTGGTATACCAGTCAGTCAGACGGACAGCTTTATACAGTATGAGGACGTGAACGAGGGAGCTCAAAATGCAGCGGTCTCAGGCAAAGAACAGCCCCAGGTAGAGCAGGCGGATTACAGCGATACCGAGGCCAGGGACACTGTAGATGAAGAAATTGGAGTACGTCGCCTAGAAAGGTGTTGCTCCACCGACTCCATCAGTTCAACGACCTCTGATTCATCCATCGGGGACAATTTTTTCAACACGTGAGCATTACTTGTTTATTTATTTATAGTTTATCGAAGCTGTCATTTCTTACTCGTTTGACACAGGGCTGACGTATTAGTTCGTTTGTAAAATAATAACAGTTGTCGTTTTCTCTAATTTGGCGTTATCAATATCTATAATAGAACGACGGAAGCTGGATGATGACGTTCTACCATAGTATATATATTTGGCTACGCGTCGTAGTCAATCTCCGGTCTATGTCATAATATAAAAATATCTTTTTAATTAAATTTGATAAAAAAACAAATGAGTAAAACATTTCACCACAATAAGTGCATATCAATTGTATCCACAGAATGGGACAGATCGAAATAGTATTGGATTACGATGGCGACAACTCCACGTTAACCCTGACATTGGTTCAAGCCAAAGAACTACGCCCTCTCGATGACTGCATTGGCCCTATGGACACGTATGTGAAACTAATTGTACTACCGGACTGTGACGCTCGAGCTCAATCCAAGGTAATTATCGCCCAAATTACGGTGCCATTCTAAGTCTGAACGATATGCTTGTGTAAATATGTTATGCTATCGGGGTTATATCGTGGCAATTTTACATGGCCGTATTGTGGTGGATCATATGTGTTGTAAGGGTGACGTTTTCCCGCCGCCAATACATTTTTGTCTCTAAAGTCGCGCCCTCTAGCGTCTGTGACGTCAACAATATTTGAAAAAAAATACTTGAAATCATTATAGTTCAATGCGACATCTAATTTTGATCGTGTATCTCATACGTTGTTGAAAGTATTGTAAAAATCTCATTGATGGAAAACTACAAATCAAAACAATATCGATGATGTGAACGGTTTTTTTCTTTATAGATATTGACATCACAGAATGTCACCGGTAGAGGGCGCTACTCATAGGATAGGTGTACATGTCGTGAGTTAAGTCGCGGTTTGAATGATTATTCTGTTTATTGCAGGTGTTCAGGAAGAGTTTCAATCCGATATACAACGAACGGTTTGTGTTCACTCTGCACCGTGACGATCTGGAACAACGTTCCCTGCAGCTGTGCGTCTATCACTACGACAAGTACTCCCACCACGAAGCTATCGGTGAGACAGAGATGAGACTTGGCGACGTCGACCTCATTCCCGGAGCATTCAGTACCTGGTTGAACCTCGTCGATGTAAATGACGTAAGCACGCATACTTTTTGTAGATTAGTTTTAGTGTCACGTCACGGTGGTAGTTTTGTCCGAGTTCAAAAAAAAAAAAATCCGCCATTTTATTTTATTCGTGTTTCAATAAACTAAAACATCCTCCCGATATCTTTCTGCATAGCTTGACAGACAGATATTTGATTTGATACACCACAAAATCCTGACAAAATTCGCACTGCAAACGCGAAAGCATCAAATTTTATAAAGTGCCAAATCTGTCGGTGTATTACGCTCATTGGATGATTGCGTGGCACGAATTGAGCAGCGACCTCAATGTATCCGAGTCTGGCACGTAATTGTGTCACAAAGCGTGATGGTACTGACAAGTAAAGCATGCATAGTAGTGCGTGAAAGTTGTTTGGTTTCGACTACAGTTATATCTTTCGAAATAACCAGAGGTCATCAACTCTGATTTTCCGGATATTCTATATTTAATGCAGGTTTGGCTCAAAAGTATATAGAACAGTAACACTATCTCGTAAATCTGACTATCATTTTTATAATTTCGTAGATTCGAAATATGAATGATACAAATAAACTATGAAGAAAAATTATCTCTAGTGTAGCTCGTAGGTCGGTAATTTGAATACATATTACTGTGTTTGAAGAAAAATGTAATCACTTTTTCAGAACAAATTTAAAGATAGGCCAAAGTATGATTGAAGTCAGCGCCTACTCTGTTTGCAAATCGGATTCCTAAGTTTTGTCTCTACCCAAATCGCTTGTCGCCGGCAATGGAAACATTATGCTTAAATTAGTACTTGCTAATATATTCCATTTTTGATCGTCAACATTTTAACTTAATTTGTGTATCAGTAGTATAGCTTATCATCACCATAAACATATAATATGTTTCATTTCATAATTACCATTAATTGTAACACACGTGACGCAATTGCCCATATAAGGTCATGGTTTTATTTCAAATCGAACCCTGCACTAACTCGGATACGTCTCATTCCAAAACAGTCACGTATGTTGTTCGTTCGCTTTTCCGCGTACATATTTGTAATTCTATTACCATGGGAACGATTTATAAGTACACGATGCAGTTTTTCAACGCCAGATCTAACTATTATGTAATCATAGATAATTATGATTCACAATTGTTTTATTCCTTTTATTTCAAGTTGTGTGATTTGTTGTTTTTTGATGTACATGTATAATGATTGTCATATATCAATAAAGTAATGAATTCAATCTTCTTAGCAGATGCATATTATAGGAAAATGTCGATATTATCAGAGATATCTATTTCAGTTTAATGGATTTTGCATTTAAAACCTATCAACGTCGCAGAATTTGGGTTGTAAATATGCTTTTAAAAAAACGATTTAGGATTATTTGTTGGTGATGTTATCGTTTTTTTTTTTTTTTTGCATTGATCTTTCAGAAGCCGCAAGATTTAGGCGACATCATGTTCTCGTTAAGTTATCTCCCTACAGCGGAAAGATTGACGGTCGTTATAGTGAAGGCAAGGAACTTGAAATGGAACGAGGCCAAAGACTCCGCTGGTAATATGTTCGCATGTACTCGAGTGTTTTCTTTGCCTGGGTCTTCGATCATATTTGCTTGATGACTCACGATATATGTACGCATGCGTCACATCGGAATGAACAAGATGCGTTGACAATTGCGTGTTTTGTAAAAGTCAGCGTATATTTTTGTATATTATTATATGTTATAGTCATATGGGCATGTAGCCTAGAAAGACGTTAATAAATTTCTAAATAAAAAAAGTAAAAGTCAGAGCCGTGAAGTTTAGTTAGTAGTTGTCAGCAAGAGATTCGCTATGCAATTCCCATTACAACTCTGCTCTGGCTTTTGCGTGCCTCCCACGGCAAGGGAAATCCAAGAGACTTTAGATCGTGCGCCAGTGGTAAATTAACATCCTAGTATGTAGCCTACTTCTGTATTGGCAAGTTCTGATCTAAATCTCTTTCGCTGAGTCTGGACGAAATATACAAAACATACATCTGCGTACACTGTAATTCGTTCCAAGTTTCTATTGTCCCTTTCTTACAAACTGCGCCCTCTGGTGACGAAGCGCTTCTACAAGCTACTAGTACATTGCAGGTAGGCGTCTTTTTGGCTGATTCCCGCTTCTAGTGTCATGGCGCACCAAGACACTAGGAACGTCGGGAACCAGCGAAGACGTCGACTGTGCTGAGACAGCGCTTCCTGAGACTAAACAACGTCACTTTCGGTGATTCTGCGTTTCCATGCGCGCGCATGCCAGATATCGGGTGTAACGTCACACAAATAACATATATTGCATATTGTCATCTTCGTACTCGCCACCATGTCATTTTAACGCCACGAAAGCGCT